CGCACTCCCGCCCCCCCGGGGGCCTCGCTGAATTAACTGAGCTTTGGTGCAACGGCTCAGTGCTCTGCGCGATTCCGAGGGCCCGACAGTGCTGGAGCAGGGGTCAGTAGATGGCATTTCAAAGAACCAGGCTTGGCATGGATTTCCCCAAGGCAGCAGCTTCTCCTGGCTCTCGATTGATATCCATAAATATTTAATGTTCAGAAGTTATGCGTCAAGCCGTGATGCTGAGAGCTGGGCTGTGGCCGCTGTGCAATCCTGGCATTCCCCAGCATCTGCAAACGGGGAGCAAACGGGGCTGCCTCGGCCTCTGCAAAGCCCCCAGTACCGGGACCGGAAGGGCACCAGATAGACCGGCCAGCTCTGTGGAAATGGAAACGTTGCGCCGGGTGTTAAATATGTCAGAGCGTCTCCCCGATGAGTTTGTTTTGCACTGTGGTGCAGAGGCACATTGTCCTGAGTGATGTTTGGGGGCTGGGGGGGGGGAGGGCAGGGGGAGCACTGTGGGGTTTGTGATTGGCAGGGTGATTGGGAAGGATGAGTCGGTTGTTGGTGGCTAGAGAAACCTGAGAGTACGACGCACATGCTGGACTATTTACCTGACAGCTCTGCTGATGCCCCTCACTCCTGACCCGCAGCCCTCCTGCTATTCCAGCTCTGGGCTCCCTAACACCCAGCGCTGCCTGCGCCCACAAATCTTGACCCCACTGCCCCACCTCCTGCCTTCAGTCCTGGGCTCCCCTCCCGCCCAGCCAATACCTCTCCACACTGCAAAGATTTCTGACAGCCCAGAACGTGTCGTGTCATCGTCCCTTCAGAAATGAGACCGTGCCACCAGGGGCCTTCCCCAGTGCGGGGCTGCCAGGACCCTGGTTAGGGAGTGGAGCACGCCTGGCCCCTCTCACTTTGCCAGTACCCCTCAGCCCAGGCCTGGCTCTGCTTCGGTCTGCTGTGCTCTGTGGCGCGTCAGGGACGGGGACAGAGCTGCACAAAGGACCTGGCTGAAGCGACTGGATTAATTTCCCTCGAGGGCTGGATTCTCCTGAGCAGGTGCAGGAGGAATCGCTCGGCTGGGCTGGCGGGGGCAGCAGCAGGGCAGGGACCTGTCGGTGGGATTGGCAGGGGAGCTGGCACTCAAGGGCAGAATGGAGCAGGGAGGGGATAAAAGGTGGAGCCTGGAGAAAGCAGCAGCCCAGGAAGGTTTGCACCAGCGCATCCGGCCTTTGGGGGAGGCGCCAGGGACGTGACGGTATCAGAGTGTGTGAGGTGGGGGAGCAGGTGGCATCCAGTCTCCTGTTCTCTGCCAGGGTTGTGTGTGTGCCCAGAGCTCATCTTCATTCTGCCTGGCATCGCTCGGCCAAGTGTCGCCCTGTGGCGTGTGGTTCAGGGGGGTTGGCATTCGGGTGACACCCAGGATTGGCCAGCTGGGTTCTTGTGCCGGTCCCTGCTCTCCCCCACCCCGCCAGCCCCCAAAGTCCTTGTGCTCTGTGCCCACCAGAGGAGAGCTGATTGCCTGCTGCATGACAAGTGCAAAAGGGGTGGTGGGCGAACCACGCGGCTAAACCACTGACCACCCCCACCCCTGCCACGGTCAGTCCCCACCATGGTTTCTAGTTTGTGGGGAGGGGCAGTCTAGTGGCTCTGCAGGGAGAAGGGGGAAAGAACAGCAAAGAGCCTAGGAAGGAGACAAATTCTGTGTGGTTAAAACTCCACCTGCACTGATCAGACATCAGAACCGGAGCTAGCTTCGTGCTTCAGGTGCCAGGCTGGTGTGTGTGTGTGTGTGTGTGTGTGTGTGTGTGTGTGTGTGTGTAGATGGGGGGTTTGAAACCACAGGCCGGCGGGAAATCTGGTTCCGCAGCCCCCGGCAGTGTAATTCTGGGTGATGCGGTGTGTGGCCAGTGATTAATTACCTCTCCAAGCTAACCGAGAGTCCCAACATCCTGGCAGTGATTAATTACCTCTCCAAGCTAACCGAGAGTCCCAACATCGGAAAGCGTCAGAGGAGACGGAGCGTACAGCACTGGGAGCTGGGGCACATGGCAGCCCAGCTGCACAGAGCACCTCCTGCTGTCTCCCAACCGTACAGAGACTGAGGGGCTCTGGTTAATTGCCCAGCCCTGATTGTAAGAAGGTCAGGAGATGGCAGGTGCTCCATGGGCAGGGCCATGCCCTTCTCCTCACCAGCCGTGCACCCTGCAAATGAATCAGTGCTCAGCCCGGGATTCTTCCTGGTAGTGCAGGAAAGCAGTCTTATTCAGTGGGATTTACCCGTCAGGGCAGGAGGAGATGTACAGGCCCTAAGCTGATCACCGATGCCCCTGGGGGTGCCCATGCCTCACATACTGGTGAGGAGAAGGGAAGCCCAGCGCACAGCCAGGCCGGGGGACCGGATCTCCCGAGCTTGCAGTCTTAGCAGGGGGAGGAGGAGCCACCGGAGGCCTGCCTGAGACAGCATGTCATTGGCCTTCCATGGTCACCGGCCTGCCAGGAGTTCACTGCCCCACTCTCTTTGGGGTAACAAGTCGGTAACTGTCCCCTGATCGGTGCTTCCATACATGCCCCCTGCAGCGTGCGATGCCGGAGCCCTGACTCGGGGATTCATTCTCTGCCCTCTTGCTCTTGTGTTTCTCCTCTTCAGGCTGCCCCCTCAGCCTTCCATCTTCCCCCAACTCCTCCGATCCTGAAGGCCAGCGACTGCCCCATGCAGGGGCCATGTCCTCGGAGTTCTTGCACCATGGCGGAGGTGGGAGAGTGCTGCTTCTCCTCTGTAACACAGCAGGGACGGGGCAGCAGGCTGCCAGGTATGTCGCTTTGCCTCCATTATATTCCAGGGAATGTGCATCTCATGCAGTTTGGTGCATGCATTCTGCAGCCGGGAGTGCAAACCGGAGGATACAATTGCAAATTCATTATGGTTCAATGTGCACTTGCCCAAATCCACATGGAGAAGCTCCTGCCGGCTTCTCCAGGATCCAGTGTTACCACACTGGGTGCCTCATGGCGCCTGTCTCCTTGGGACGGAGCAGGCAAGCCATGGCCAAGTCTCTGAATCTCTTGTCTAGTGGTTAGAGCACTGTCCTGGGGCTCAGGAGACCTGGGGGCTGTTCCTGGCTCTGCCACTGGCCTGCTGGGTGGCCTTGAGTAAGTCACTTCACCACTCTGTGCCTCAGTGCCTGGGCAGGGGGACAGCGTGCCAGGCCCTGGGTGGTGGGACTGCAGACCGGGAATGGGGGTCAGCATTGCCTGTCATTGCAGCTGGGACTCATCTGCAAGGAAGGGGGCTCCCAGCCGGGCTGAAGACTTTTTTGCTATTTTCTGTTGGACTTTGAGTGAAGGATTCAGGCCTGGGAGTGGGGTGGAGGGCCAGGTCACTCTGATTGCCGAAGAAGAGAGTGGGGAAACTGAGGCAGAGCTGCTGCAATACTCTATCTGACCATGAGGGGGCTCTGTGCCCCCCCTCACTCTGGGACAAGGACTCCGTCCCAGCCTCTCCTCTCCCAACAACACAAAGCCATTTACCAAGTACCTTGTCCAATCCCTCTGCTCCCTGTTCGCCTGGGTCCAGCCGTGCCGAGGCTCTGTTCTCTCTCCATGCGCAGGGGCAGGGACGCTCACAGATGCTGCCGGTTCAGGACCCTGCCTGGTCTCTTGATCCTCCGTCCAAAGCCAGCTCGGAGGAGGGGAACCATGGCTCCTTCCCACTCTCCTGGGGACAGAGCTGTCACTGAGCACCCGTCTGAGCTCTTGGAGGGTCGTGCCAGTCACAGGGCGTCTCACGCTCTCCCTGCCTGGGCCGAGGGTGGGGAGGGCTGGAGGAAAAGTCACAGGCCCCCCCTGCCTCCACATCTCTGAGATGATGCCACGTTGTCTGTTGCATGGGGCATCGCTCCCTGGAACGGCCCAGAACCAGGGTGGGGCAGAGGGCACAGGAGTGCAGCAGGGCACTCAGAGGGTAGACAGGCAGCAGCCCACGTCTCACTGGGGATCTTTCCCCCCGTTTCCGGCGGCTGTGGGTCGGGGGTGTTAATGCCATCGGCAGCACTTGGCCAGCCCCTTCAGCGGAGCGTCCCCGTGGGCCCCGAGCCTCGCACCGGCGGGAGCTCGGCCAGCTCGCCGCGTAGGGAAGGAAACCGAGTCAGGGAGGGCTGGGGCCATGTGCACAAGGTCCCACGAGTGGCCTGTGGCAGAGCTGGGCTGCAGCCCGGGCCTCGCCTGCCCAGTTCTGAGCGTTAACCTTCCCGCTGGCAGGGACGGGGTGAGCCCGGTGCTTCCCCAGCGCTTTTCACAGCCTGCATTTCAGTGTTGCTTCGGCTGGCCTCCGCAGGGGCCCTGTGTCCCAGAGGGCTGTATGGTAGGTCAGCCTGGCCCCTGGCTAGCCGGGGACGTGCCAGCAGCAAGCTGCTCGTCGGATGCCCCGGGGGCCGGTGAGCATTGCAGCAGCTGGAGCCATACAGCCGAGGAGGTTGAGTGTAATAGCTCCCGTGCCTCTGCCTCTGGCACCCCCTACACAGCCCTTGCGGAGCTGGGAGCCACATGCTGCTCTGCACATGCCGGCTGGGTTCACAGATGTGACACGCTGACCACGCCCGCCCCGAGCCGTGGCCTTCCCAGCAGCTATTGGAGGCGTGTGCGGTGAACGACGGCGGGTACAGCCCTGGCCGTGTGCTATTGTGCTGTCCTGTCACACATCACCTGCTGGAGGAGCTGATGGGGGGGCTGCGTGTGTGCGTGTCGGGGGGAGGGCTGGGTTGTCCTTCCTTGGATCTCTTCTCTGTTTCATGCACCTGCTGGGCCCAATTCAACCTGGGCATAAGCATGGTGCCCCAGCTGGCTTTCTTGGGCAGGAGCCAGCTCCTGGCAGGGCTGAACAGGAGCCAGGGGGTGTATGAATCCACGGGGGTCCAGGAATTTGTTTCTCCCCTGGCTGGGTTATTCCTTCTCTCGCTCTTGCTCTGAACTTTCTGGGACTCTGGTTTTGCTCTGTCCTTTTCGCTGACTCTGCACCCGGCTGGGACTTTATCCCAGCGTTGGGCGTGTCTCCTCTCGTGCGCTGTGGCTGTTGTGAGGCACTCCCTCGGCCCATGTGTCAGGATAAAGGGCAGAGGGAATTGGAGACACACGACTGGTTTTTCCTTGCTGCGCCTGCATTACGGGCTGCCTTTTCGGGTGCAGCCTGGATTTGCTGACAACCTATAGTTATTTATTTGTTTATTTTGACGGCTGAAATGGTGGTGTCTGGGTAAACGATTGAAGAATGCTCCAGAATTGGGATTTGTCTGGGCTGGATGAGTGTTATTTTAATAACCACGCCTAGCTCTTGTTTAGCCCTCTACATCTGTAAGTGCCGTACACAGGAGAGTAAGTATTGCTACGCCCATTTTGTGGATGGGGAAACTGAGGCACAGACTGGGGCGTGATTTGCACATGATCATGCAGTAAGTCATTGCTGGGAATGGGACCCAAGAGTCTTGCATCCTACCCACGTGGCTGTGCTGCTTTCTCAGAGAACTTAGCCTGACTCACAATCACCCATGTTTTAGGAAAGTTCAGGGGTCAGTCCACAATTTGTGACTGACCCCAGCCCTTAGAAGGGGTTGAACCAAAACCCTGGATCCGAAGTCTACATCTCAACACCGTATCTGTGTTGTTTGGATCTATTCTGGGCCCTTTCTTGTGTGTTAGATACATAGTGTGAGTGTCAATAAAGAGACAATAGTGAGTCTTGTCAGTTAGAACGAGGGTTTTTGGTGCGTGTCCCTGGCTGTTCCGGGAGGTGGTTGACATGCAGGGCCAGGCATGTGCAGAGGAGTGATGGAGAGACAGAGGCAGGTATGGTATATACAGCTCCTGGGGTGTGTCTGTCCAGAGACACAAACAGAAGCATGGGTTTTGTGTAGCTCTGGCAATATCAGACCCCCACACACCTCCTCCCGTAATACTGAGCGAAGCGCCGAGGTTTGGAGAAGTCCCCAAAGCATGCCTGCTCATCTGATCTGGGAGTTCCCTGGGAACAGCGCAGGAAGCAGAGCTCTGTAACTGTTGTGACTCCTGTGGACTGTACCTTGAATTATTCCCCAAGGACACTGCTGAGACAGGCAGCCATTTTGTGTTCAGCTGGGTACAGAGCATGCCAGAGGAGATACACACACACCATGCTCTCTGATGGGCACTGTCCTCTCTTGATTTGCTTTCCCCTTAATGGAAACTCAGAGTCATTCTGGCAACAAGCAGCTATTTGCTCGTTGCTCAGGCAGGATCCTTGCAAAGGGGCTCGCTGGATTGCCAGCGCCAGTAGCTCCCACAAGAACAGTCTCAGTGCTTCTGCTCCAGGTTGCACCTGGAAATGGGAAACCTGGAGGAGTGTGGGCATAAGCGAGAGCTGAACTGATCAATGGGGCCTCAGGCAAGGTTGGGTTTGAGCCCTGGGCCAGGTTCTCCTCAGCTCCTGTCTGACCCACCCCTCTTTGCTCATCCTGAGTCTGGCAGGCAGGTGAGAAGCAACATTGTCCAAAGTCCAAGCTGGGAGCTCAGCTATTCAGCGGGTCAGTCAGTGATGCAGTGGGGACGGGGGCCATAGCGCCTGCCCCATGGATGCCTCCCCTCCTGTTCTGGCTGTGAACGTCACCAGGAAAGATTTCTTAGCACCAAAAATGGCCCAGCAACAAAACCATGACCTAGCAGAGAATGGTCTCCTGGCCCTTCCCATCTCCAGCAGCCGGGATCCTACCCTGGCACCCTTCTGTTAGGGGCTGCCAGCCCTTCAGACACATTAGCAATACCCCTGACTTTCAGAGGTCTCTTCTGCATGCACAGACTCCTGCATTGATTCACACCGTGGCGTTGCACCCACCCCATGCTGGGTGTGGTCTGCGAACACGGCGTTCGGTCCGGGGCCGGGCCGAGTGCAGGGGTTTGGATCCATTGGTTGGTTCCCCGCTCGATGGAGAACGCAGTGGCCCAGTTTGGAACATGCCTCTGCCTCCCCCTTCCTGCGCCCCGGCCGAGCCTGCTCGGCATCTCCGGAAAGGCAGGTGCCGGAACAAGTGGGCAATGAAGCAGAAGCTGGGGCTTGTTGGAAGTGATTTTCTTTCTGTTGCTTGGCCCAGCAGCTGGGCTATCATTAAGCCCGGAGAAAGCAGGCATTCTGGCACGCTAATTGCCTCCTCTGGATGGGGCAGGGCTCCAGGGAGGGGAACAGAAGGTGGTGCTGCTCCCGGAATCCCTGTGCTGGGTCTTCTGGCCGCGCTGGGCCATTCGGCCCCCAGCGACGCTAAGCCCAGCCCATATTTCTTTTCCTTTCAAGCTGGTTCTCGGGCCGAGGGGGGGAGCGGCTCAGCGTGCCCCGCTAGGAGCTCTGACACAGACCGCTGGCTGGCGGGCCGCCATCGGCTGGTAATGAATTCGTATTTCACATCACAAATCCCATTAAATACCATTCTCTGTGTGCTCGAAGCTGCTAGTAAAACATTATCGGCTGGGAAATGGCTTGTCATGCGCCATGCTTTATGGAGCGCAATTGAGTGGGAAGCACTTGGACTTCACCCAGACGGGCCCAGCGTGGGTGTGAGCCCTGCTGTCCCAGCAGCCGTGGCCAGGTGATCCACTTCCTACCCACTCCAACCTCATCATGGGGCTCGCCTCCTCTCGGCTGCTGTGCTGCGCTCATGCATCCTGCGCTGCATCGCTCAGCGCTCGCTGAAGTCCTCAGCTAGCCTGGGGCAGAGCAGCAGTCCCATGTAGCCGGGGAACCTCCCTCAGAGCCTGAATGGTGCCGAACGCTTAAAAAAAAAGTGCAAGAAACTCCCCAGTGGATGGCTGTGGGAACCCCAGAAATGCCCTATTTGTGCCACCTTGTCTTCAATGTTGCAGCGATCGCCAAGTAACGGGTGGTTTTCAGAAGGTAGTGGAGTCTAATGGTTGGAACGAAATAACGGGTGCCCGGACTCCTGGGTTCCATTCCGGGATCTTCCATTGACTCCTTGTGTGCCTGCTCTCACTCTGTCTGCGTTTATCCCTCTGACAAATGGAGGCAGTAATTCAGGGTACCCGGTGCTGTGCTCTGACTGCTAGGCAGTGCTTCCTCTCTGCATGGCTGTGTGCTTTGGGGCTCCCTTCTCCCATACCAGCTAGAGCCCTTGGGACGTATCCTAGCACACCGTGGGCTTTCACCCCTGAACAGGAGAGGGGATGGCCAGAAACGTCTGAGAGGCTCAGCGAGGGATGGGTGCCCATTAAGGAGATGGCTCCTGCCCGGATTGGCCAGTGATTCCTTTTCTAGCACTGTCTCCAACCCGCTGTCTGTGGCTTTCCAGGTTTGGCCCCCCGCTGCTGACGAGAGAAGACAGAGCCATCTCGTGGGAGCAGCTCCAGCAGTGTATCCTCAGCAAGATGCGCTACCTGATGAGGAACGAGGCTCAGGTACAGGTCAGTCCATTCCCCTGCTTTGGGTGTGTTGGTGCCAGACGGGATGGGGAGAGGGTGGGACCTGCTCACATCAGGGCACTGCCTGGGTTAGCGGCTCAGGAGCAGCGCCCACCAGCAGCTCCCAGCATGCTGAAGGGAAAGGAAACCTGCCTGGGGAGAAGCGTTCCCAACCCCCTTCTAACGAATCTCCTGCATTGCGATCCCAACTCTCCTCTCCCACGCGTCACTAGGGAGGAATTTGACTCACCAGGCCAGATTCTGCTTTTACGTAGGTGTAAATCCGGAGGAACCCATTGGTAGCAGGAGAGTTTCTCTAGACTTACACAGGTGGAGATTCATGGATTCCAAGGCCAGAAGGGACCATCGTGATCCATCTAGTCTGACCCCCTGTGTCACAAGGGCCATGGGACTGCCCCAAATAATTCCCAGAGCAGAGCTTAAAAACATCCGCTCTTGAGTGAAAAATGATCAGGGATGGAGACTCCACCCTGACCCTTGGTAAATTGTTCCAATGGGTAATTGCTCTCACCATTACAAATGTGGCCATGCGGCTCTCAGAGCGTACTCTGCCATCGTGCATGCATGCAATAGATAAAACAACAGAAGAGCAGGTGCCATTAGCCCTGTCTCCCCCAACCTTCACACCAGTTTCTAAACCTGGTTTCACAGCCCAAGAGCTTTCTGTGGGGGCTGAAATTTTCATCATTTGGGCAAAGTCCCTTGGCCGTGTCTACGTTCTGGGCGAGTGGGGGCTGGGAATGGGAGATGTCATTTTCTCATTTAGAAAAAAGAATTGCAAGCACACTTCCGGCTGCTGAGGTTTGCAGCGTGAAACCCAGCACACGCGGCTGTCCTGAGCACCAGGGCCCTTAAACGGTTGGAAATCACAACAGTCAGGCTCTATTTAACAAAGATGGGGCTGGGTTGAAAATTGCACACTGAGCATGTGCAATAGAAAATTTCAGGGGGCCTGATTTGCTGCCGCCTGATGTTGTCATTTCTGGCGGTGCAAAGGGAGTGGAAAAGGCCAGCAAATGAGCATGGCACGATGGAGGGAGAGCAGGTCCAATGCACCTCTACGCGCAGCCAGCGGAGAACAGGTTCAGTGCACCTCTGTGTGCAGCCAGCTAAGTACGTGTTCATTGATTCAAGGAATTTACAAGCTGAAGGACCAAGGAGTTAACAGCCAAAGCCCCTTTGCAGCTCCACACGGTAAGATGCGGTGGGAACTGAAACCAGGGGGAAATCGCCTGGTGCCTGAATTTATGGTATAGAGAGGGGCAATCTTTGCAGCCCCAGTGTGAAATCAGACGACACCGGGCAATTCTGGCTGAGTTTTGCTCTGAGAATGACCGGGGGTTTAACCTGAAATTCAGTGCTTACAAATGGCAGAAAAGGACCTGGGAATTACAATGGACGAGAAGCTGGATATGAGTCAGCAGTGTGCCCTTGTTCCCAAGAAGGCTAACGGCATATTGGGCTGCATTATTAGGAGCATTGTCAGCAGATCAAGGAAAGTGATTATACCCCTCTATTCGGCACTGGGGAGGCCACATCTGGAGAATAACGTCCAGTTTTGGGGCCCCACTACAGAAAGGATGTGGATACATTGGAGAGAGTCCAGCGGAGGGCAATGAAAATGATTAGAGGGCTGGAGCACATGACTTATGAGGAGAGGCTGAGGGAACTGGGCTTGTTTAGTCTGCAGAAGAGAAGAATGAGGGGGGATTTGATAGCAGCCTTCAACTAGCTGAAGGGGGGTTCCAAAGAGGATGGAGCTCGGCTGTTCTCAGTGGTGGCAGATGACAGAACAAGGAGCAATGGTCTCAAGTTGCAGTGTGGGAGGTCTAGGTTGATATTAGGAAAAACGATTTGACTAGGAGGGTGGTGAAGCACTGGAATGGGTTACCTAGGGAGTTCACTTCCACCCACATCTATTCCCCTGGCTTGTGAAATAGGAAGTGCGACATTACGTGCCGTGTAAGCTTTTATTAGCTGTGGAAACGCAGACACAATCTCTAAGGGTGGCTGTGGCTAGATTATAAACTTTTGATCTATTTATTAAAGCATTAGAAACCCCCCCGAGGGGGGAAGATGAATTTTAAATGTTACATTAATTTTTGTGCCTGTTAATCTCCTTTCATATTCGTTCCGAGTGGATAGCATTTTAATTAAATTATAGCTTATTAAATCATCATCGGAACCCAGGAGGGACCTAACATTACATTCCTGTGCAAAATGAAGATTGATTATTGCATCCGACTCCAAAGTGGCCTGTAGATGCTTTGCTGAGTTTATTCCCAATGTGAAGAGGGCTGGGGACGAGCTCAGAAGAAAATCTCTAAATCCAACTTCGGGCCTTTCACTCTGAGTAGTTTTTGAAGTTGGACTTATCAAAATACACTTCTACCCCGATATAACGCGACCCGATATAACATGAATTCGGCTATAACGCGGTAAAGCAGTGCTCGGGGAGGGGGGGGGCGCGCACTCCTGCAGATCAAAGCAAGTTCTAGATAACACGGTTTCACCTATAACCCGGTAAGATTTTTTGGCTCCCGAGGACAGGTGTAGTTTTATTTCCCCACAAGCAAGCAGGAGACCTTTCCAGATCCATGCCCGAGAGCTAGCAAAGGGAGCCTTGATTTATTCCTTAGGCTTTGTACACACTGGACTGGAACCCTGGGCTGCTAGGGCAGAAAGGCAAAAGCATCATAAGCCACAGTCTGCACTGGTGCAGTTTGAAAGCAGGGTACACTGGACCTGTACAAATTGTGGCACTGATGGAGCTCCCCCCTCAGGGCAGGGCTGGATGTCATGCTGGTAAAACAGCTCAGCCAGGTCTCCTCCACAGGTGCCCCCACCCCAGCACTAGCACTGCTGAGCTCTCTGCCCTGAGGGTGCCCTGGCTGTACACGCACGTGGGCAGCTCATGCTGCGCCCTGTTTTTAGCCCTCTGTCTTGATGGGAGCTAGCGCCGGTTCATCTCCTCACGCTGGGAATTACCCCCCCCCCAGCCCCCAGTGTGGACATACCCCTATCCTGCATGCCCTGCCTGTGGGTTAATGGAGCAGGGCCCCCGAAATGACAGACCTGAAAATCCCCAGCGATGCAATCAGCCAGGTCTGTGTTTGATCTGGGGAGAGCTCCTCTTGGGGCGTGGAACTGCTGGGGCTGCCTGGCCTGTCACAGCCTGGTGTAACACCAGAACAAGTCCAGGGACCTCAGTGGGCTGACAGAAGGGGTCGCTCTCATTGAATAGCTTTGGTTACCCTTTGGCAGCGCACCAGATAGACTCAGAGACTTTAAGGCCAGAAGGGTCCATCAAGATCACTTAGTCTCACCTCCTGCACATCGTAGGCCACAGAACGTCACCCACCCACTCCTGTAACAGAGCCCAGCCTCTGGCGGAGTTACTGAAGGCTCCCAAGTTACAGAGAATTCACCATTTACACTAGTTCAAACCAATGAGTGACTCGTGCCCCATGCTGCAGAGGAAGGTGAAAACCCCCCAGAGTCTCTGCCCATCTGACCCAGGGAAAAATTCCTTCCTGACTCTAATATGGCCATCAGTGAGGCCCCATTGTGACCCTGAGCAGGGCACAAGCTGTATGGGAGCAGTGGAGATTTCCCCACATGGAGGGGAATGCCCTGCTGATGTAAACCTGGGCAAGGCAGCTTCTGCACCAGTCGTCCCTCGCCAGCCATGACACAGGAGGAATAGCCGGGGAGGGGTGCACAGGGGTATGGGGAAGTTCTGCTATGCTGATTCTTCACTAGCATAAGTTGGAGCAGCACTTAGGCTGCTCTAACTCACGCTGGACTGGTACAGAATCAAAGGTCTGTAACTGGCCCCTCCTCGTACCAGTAAACACTCAACAGCCCTCACTCTAGTTATCGGTGGTAACTGCAGGTGCCACCACCTCTGTACTGAGCAGAACTCAGACACGAGTGAATCTATACGGTGCCTCTCATCTATCCCTGAGCAGGTCTAGGTGTGATCAAACCACATCCTAGGACCGCTAGCATTCCCGTTCCCCTCTGACTTTCACAGCGTAGTGTGTGTGTTGCGCTTGCAAGCGGCGGCTGGAAATCCTCAGGCAGACGCCTCCCAGATCGAACACAGCAAGTGTTAACATTTAAGAACCAGAGATACAGGAAAAATCAATCAAGACCTTGGCCAATTGCTCTGTTTTCTGTCCATCAGCCCTATTGGCTTCCACTCCATTGGGACTGCACAGAGCTAGGCCAGGGCTGTTTTGTCTCCCACCCTACTACCAAGACCCTTCTTAAGAACAGGAAAAATGCATTGATTTTTCTAACTCTAGGATTTCCCATTGATCCATCATGCCTTCCGAAGAAAATGAAAACCTCCCATAATGCACCTAGCCTATTGTGCAGTACAGCATGGTGTGTGTGTGTGGGGGGGGGGCGGGAATTTCCTTCCTGACCCCTGGAGCAATCAACTGGTGCCCTGAAGCATGAGATCACCTTTCCCCTATCTTAGCACATAGCCACAAACACTGATATATTGTCTATGAAATTTGCGAGGCCCTATCTGTTCAAACCGGCCGCTTTAGTTGACTCTGATCTTAGCAGCAGTGAAGGCCTTTTGTTAGTTCTAAACTGGACTGGCTACTAATTCCATCAAGTGGCTTCATATTATGGGATAGCACAAACAGACAGGTCTGATTGCTTTCCTCTGTACCCCTCCTAGCTGTAAATACAGCACTTGAGTCCATTTCCTGCTCATCTCTTTCCTTTTCATCGCGCTGAGCAGCAGTTCAGTGCTGCCTGCCCACTGCAGTGCTCTCTGAGTGGAAGGCAAGTCTTTTCTGTGTGCTGACCTGCCTTCCCCACAGAAACACCAGCAATTCCTCTCGGCCGGGTGACGGAGAGAACCGAGGGAGATGTCCTGCCGCTGCTTGACCTGAAAGAGTCAGGGCATGTTCCCCACCAAGCCGGGATCCGTGGGACGCTGGCTGGGCCGAGCCAGGCTG